CTTTGCCATCTGGACAATGGCAGCCAGCGTGCTGGCTTACCCACTTCGACTATGATGCTAGCCAGCGTGCTGGCTTTGCCATCTCAACAATTGCATCACCACATGCCGCACTGCAGACTGAACAAGAACGTGTGAATCATCTGCCTCTGGTCATCCTGGTTGACGCTGAAGAAGTGGTCGTCAACAATGCCAAGGTTCCCTGGCATGATGGCTGGGCAAAGAGGAATAAGAAGGCTCTGGTTCATGTGCGATTGCAAAAGCTTGTGGGTTGCGTGAACCTTCTTCCAAGTATATTCGTCACTGCTGTTGAGTAGATATTTGAGTATAACCAACCACTATGCTTGTCATTGAGTAATTGACTGTCTCAGAGAAATTGACTGTTTCAGAGAAAAACGTGACAAAGTAGCGTGAAGTGACACACAGCAGGCACTGTAGATGTTTTAGCGCACTCTCGTTGTTCGGCTCGCGACTAGTCTTTGTACACAGCAAGGATAGCGTAGTGCTTCCGCAGAACGACGTCCACACAGAATTTATCAGGAAGAAGTCACGGCATGAGACACACAGTTGGTTGGGTCTAGCGCGTGCATCGGAAGCAGATGTGGATGGTGTAGGCATCTGTGAAGTTGCGGCTGTTGTTCCTAACCCAGTCTTCCCATCCACTGGACCACTGGACCACTCGCCAAAACTGCCAGGTTTCTCCATGGGCAACCCAGCATCTGGTTGCTATGGACTGGTTTGGCCATCTTTCATGGATGAGCTCTGGCTGGTCGTCATGGTATGTCCTGCTTCCATAGGACCAACAGAGGCACACCTGTCTCTGGTTATCCAGGTTGGTATACAAGAAGTGGTCGTCAACAATGCCAAGGTTCCCTGGCATGATGGCTGGGCAAAGAGGGAGACCTACGAGCTAGTGGGCTGTAAAGTAGTAAATAGCGCATGCATAGCCATAAGAAGGCTCGGTTTGCCTGGTAAAGGTTTATGTGGGAAATGAATATTGCAAAAGCTTGTGGGGCGCGTTCAAACTTCTTGCTAGTATATTCTTCATTGCTGTTGAGTTGATATTGTTGTAGTTGGCCCAAGTTGTATGGAGACTTCTGCAATGTCACTGTGAGCCCCGAAAGGTCAGTCACGGAAAACGCACAGTCTGTTGGCACAGGCGCTCTGAGGGTGACATGTGCTTCGCTCTAGATGTAATTGAGAACCACCATGCTGGTCATTTTCCAATCGCCTCTCCTACAGAAACATGCAACAAAGTAGCACGAGGTGACACATAGCAGGCACTGCGCATGTTTTCGTATCCTCTGGTCGTTCAGCTCGCGACTAGCCCTTGTATAGGGCAGAGACTCCCCGACACTATGTCTATACTTGTCGTGCTTCCGCAAGAAGAATTCGTGGTATGAGACATGCAGTTACCATGTGAACATCTAGGTGACACTCTGCGTCGGGGAGACTCTCACTGCGTTGTCCGCTCCGGAGACACGGCGGCGACCATCTGGGCCAACTGGGCGGCGTCGAGGGTGCCATCTGGTGACACGTCCGCCAGTGGGATGCGGAGCGGGGGGTCCACCTGAACAAACCTGCCAGTCTGGTCGTGGTAGCCGCTGAGTTCGATGCAATCGGGCGGCGTGGTATTAGCAGCGCGGGCCGCTTCCAAAGTTGTACTAAAGTTGTACTACAAAGTCGCCAGTTCTCATCTTCCAGCTCCCCAGATAC